CTCTCTCAATCTTTAAAAATTCCCAAGATCTATACCTCACTCTTCACTGGTAAATCAATAAGGTAACTTATAACTTATTTGATTTACTTATAAGCTCTCTGTATTTAAATAAACTCTATTTGGTAGGACAAACTTATTTAAAAAGCTTGAGCTTATTTGATAAGCTTGTTTAGGTAGCTTTTCAAATAAGCTAGTTGAATTTTTTTATTTTAGCTAGCTTATCAGCTAATTTTACCAAACACTTTTATCATATAAGCTAGCTTTTCAGCTATAAGTCATAAGCTACAAATTATAAGCTCGAAAATTACTGATAAATTATAAGTTAGCTTATCAGCTAGTTTACCAAACATAACCTAAGTGTATGCTCTTTATTTTCTTCCAATCATCCAATCAAGTAATTTTTACACTTTATAAAGAAAGAGTTATTCTATTATTCAAAGAAGCCACAGTTTCTCCATCCTTTAGCTGGAGGTAAGAGGTTGATGCTTTTGGTAGTAATTTATTCAAATATCTCCCTTTGTTTAATCCTGCTCATTTAGGTTGAAATTAGTTTCTATTGTTTATGCAGTTTGATCCTTTTAACTCGCTCCGAATGATAGCAATTTCTTTAGTTTTTTTGAATTTAGATGTGAAATTTCAGTTAAATGCTCTTCAGTTCGTCAAAATTGGGTTCCATTTGAGTTGTTCACATCATTTGTAATGAATTTTATTATTCAACAACCTTCGTTCTCTCCTTGTATTTGGCAGTTGTGTCACTAGCTTCATTCCCTAATGCAATCCTTGTCGACTAATGAGCCGGTTGTTTCAGTTGACTGGCTCCGTGCCAACCTCCAAGAACCGGATTTGAAGGTAGCAACTTTGTTTCTGTGCTCTTAACTATTTTATTTTTACTTTTTTTTCCGGGGTTATGGAGTCGTGTCTTATAGTTTGGTGCTCGGTTGTTTTAAGGTGTTGGATGCATCTTGGTACATGCCACACGAACAGAGGAATCCATTCGAAGAGTATAAGGTACAAAAGGATTTCTTGCTTCCTAACATCGCAGGTTTTATGAAACATTCACTGCTAATTGCCCTACTTTATGGTACTTGTAGTCTTTTTTTTCAAATTCCTAACATTTTTAGTTTGTTGTATAATGTATCCTTCGTGTTGGTTCTTTAATTTATTTATTTTTCCTAATTTTTTTAACAGGCTGCGCATATTCCTGGTGCACTTTTCTTTGATCTTGATGGCATATCGGATCGAGCTAGTGAAGTAAGATGCTATCCTTGAGAATGTTATGCTCATAGTAGTACATTTTTCTCTTCTTGTATAGCATGAAGAGTTTCTTCTGTATATAATGTCAGCCACTATAATGCGTTCATATTTTCATTTGGAGAAATAATTTTCTTATGTTTCTTAACTAAGGTAGTGTTGCCTACCAATGTTCAAGACATTGATTGCCCTATTATTTTGTTCTGCCATAAAGTGTGCTATTGATCTGCCTTAGCAAAATGAATTATCTAACTTTTCATTCTTGATTGCTCATTTATATAGTTGCCACATATGCTGCCATCAGAAGAAGCATTTGCTGCTGCTGTATCTGCCCTCGGCATTGAGAAAAAAGACGCCATTATAGTCTATGATGGGAAGGGGATTTTCAGTGCACCTCGTGTTTGGTGGTATATAAACAAATTTCAACAAGCACATGCTATTTAACTGCATGTACCTTTACTGATTATTATCACACATCGAATGAACTTCATTTTGTGTTTTCCAAAAACAGGATGTTTCGAGTATTCGGGCATGATAGGGTTTGGGTTTTAGATGGTGGTTTTCCCAAATGGCAGGCTTCGGGCTATGATGCTGAATTATCTGCTACCAGTGATAATATATTGAAAGCTATTGCTGCTAGTGATGCAGTAGAGAGAGTATGCGAAGGGGAACGGGTATGTTGTGCCTTATCTCATTATGCTTACTTCCCTTATTCTATGTATGTCTTAGTTTCAGCTAGCACTGTGTGAATTCATGTGTAGTTTGTGATGAATTCAACTTACTCCAAGTTAGTCTTTTATATGTTGATATGTTTTTTCTGTTTCGTGCTTTTTTCTCTTTCTTAAAATAATTATAGGTATTTCATTATCTGCAGGTTGGACCAGTTACCTTCCAGACCATTTTTCAGCCGCATCTTGTTTGGACACTTGAGCAGGTATTTTGTTGCATTTATTATTTTTTATTTTTATTTTTTTTTCTAATAAATAGATGTAGAGTAAGTATTCACCAGCTGATTAGAACTAACGGAAAATAAAGACATTGTCCTAAACAGACAAGTTGGTGGTACAGTCAGTTCAGGTTCTGTTTTTTTCGGCCATCACGATAATTTGAATCATCACAAACCCAGATGCATGGGTTTTTTGGAGTATGACCATTATGGACACGGGGTTTTGTCACTTTGGATAAATGTGGCCAATGTTCGAAGTATGTTGAATCAATTTTCGTTGTATCAACATTTAATTGATTAAAAATTATGCAATTCTACTTGTTATTCAGGTCCTGAAAAATATTGAAGAACAAAGATATCAACATCTAGATGCTCGTGCAAAGGCTAGGTGAGCTTTCCTTGAGAAACTTGTTATAAAGAAGGTGGTTGGTGGTTAGTGGTTACAACCATCATCATCATTTAATATTTATATATGAAATAATATATATGAATGACTATTTCGCCTTCAATGTAATTGTATTATTATGATTGTGTCATCATATTTTATAATGAAAATACAACTAAGAGAATATATATTTTCTCTATTCTTTCTTTCTCTCTAGTTTTATAACACGTTATCAGCACGAGTCTCTGCCCTCTAGAACTCGATTTGTAATACGACTAGAGTATGCTCTACAGTTGCGTCTCATAGACGATCTTCTGTATCAGAAATCATAATATTACAAATCGTTATTTTATTGGAATTATTCTTCAAGGTATTTTTTCTCTCAATTATAAATAATCACATATTTTTGCATCTCCTGAAATTAGAATTTCACTATGTTTGGTATCATTAAAAGAGAATTTGTTGAGCTCGCTCCTGATGAGAGTAATTACTTATTTGTTGAGATCCACTTGGACTCATTTGACTTAAATGTCACAATTGATTCTACATCTTCGTCACTATTTCAATAAAGATTTGAAAATGAATACCTCACAGAAAAAGAGTCCGCAAATCTTATCGTTTTGACCAACAAATGGCCATAACCTACCCTTAAGCACAATTTGTCTGCTTAATAACTGTTTTCAGGATTGTAATTCTATTACTGAATATAATTCGGCCCTTCATCGTATTGTCTCACAGCTCAAACCATTACAAACCATTACAAAGGATGAGTTGCTTAGAAAACTTTATCTACTTTTTATGTTAACAACCTTGTACTCCAGCAGCAATACTTGGTTAAAAATTATGCGACACATTCTGAACTATTTTCTGCTTTGCTAGTGGTCGAAAAATATAATCAGTTGTTGATGAAAAATCAAAGTGCTAGGTCACTTTGGGACTCAAGCATTGCTTGAAGCACATGCGACTACTCACGAACATAATAATATATGTGGAAGAGGTCGAGGATATCATACTCAGTCACCCCACGGTGGTCATGGTCATGGCCGCGGTCGGGGTCGTGGTCGCGGTCATGTCTGGACTCGAGGTGGAGGAAGAGGTCATGATGTTGAGAAACAGAAAGGTTATAGAGAAAATCTTAACATCAACGCTCCACAAGTTAATCAAGATAAGCAAGTTCGCTATAAATGTGGTTACAGTGGTCTGTACATGTCGTACTCCTCGGCACCTAGTCGAGGCCTACCAAAGAACGCTCAAGGATAAGAAAGGAAAAACTCTTAAAGTGAATCACATCATGCTAGTTTGCCTGAAGTAATTTATCAATAAATGATGATGTTTTATTGAAGATTGAGCTTGAAGACTATGGTGATAATATGTGATTTCATATGCATTCTATCTTAGTACTGGATATTTTATTTCACTTTTGGTTTCATGCTATTAGACAATTATGATTTGTTTTTATTATTAATATGTTTTAATATGTTATGTTTTGACTGAGATTTTATCATTGTTATGTTTGCTTATAATATTTACCTTTCTTTTAGTGTGCCATAAATATTAAATAGTTTGCAAGTCACAGAGAAATAGAGTATTTTTATGCTCAACAGTGCTACTATGCACACTATTTTCAAAGATGAGAATTTTTTTAAACATTATATGAAAAGAAAGGGACTGTTACTACGATTGCTCATGATAAAATCTTGATAGTGCTCCGACAGAGCTTTACTTACTCTTCTTAAGGGTACCGAATTAATAATTAAAGATTTGCTTTTGTACTCTGAATCACAAAGAACACTCTTTAGTTTTAAAGATATTGGATCAAATGGTTTTCATTTTGAAATTAAGACTAGAAATAATATAGAATACCTTTTTATTTCACAAGGAAGTCAAAAGAACATTGTAGAAGACATTGTGAATGAGTCACAAGAATGTATTCTATATTAATTTCAATCTTAGTTTCAAATGAAAACCATTTTGTTTAATATCCATAAAACTAAGGAGTGTTCTTTGTGATTCAGGGTACAAAAGCGCATTGTTATTATTAGTTCGGTACCATTAGGAAGAGTAAGTAAAGCTTTGCGGAGCCTACTATCAAGATTTTATCATGAGCAATTGTAGTAACACTCCATTTCTTTTCATTTTAAAGTTTGAAAAAATACTTATGTTTCAGAATAGTGTGCGTAGTAGAATCAACTAGGCATAAAATACTCTATTTCTCCATGACTTGCAAATTATTTAATGTTTATGGAACACTAGAAGAAAAGTAAAATATTCTAAGCATACATAACAATGATAAAGTTCCATCAAAACATAACATATGAAAACATACTAATAATAAAAACAAACCATATTTGTCTAATAACATGAAACCAAACCTGAATAAAAAAATCAAGATAGAATGCATATGAAGTCACACATTATCACCATAGTCTTCGAGCTCAATCTTCATTCTTCAATAAATCATCATCATTTACTAATAAATTTGCTTAAGGCAAACTAGCATGATTCACTTTGAAGAGTCTTTCCTTTCTTATCTTTGAGCGTTCTTTGATAGGCCTCAACTAGGTGCCGAGAAGTACGACATATACAGAACCAGTTACCATTGTATCCACACCTATAGCAAACTTGCTTGTCTTGATTAGCTTGTAAAGCTTTGATGTTAAAATTTTCTCTATAACCTTTCGGTTACCTCTTCCTCTACCGCGACCATGACCACGACTACCCGGGGTGGCTGAGTATGATATCCTCGACCTCTTTCTCGCATATTATTATATTCGTGAGTAGTCGCATGCCAGACACTGCTAACTGCTAACTGGCCTAACATTATGATTTTTCATCCACAACTAATTATGTTTTTCGGCCACTAGCAAACCAGGAATTAGCTCAGAATGTTGCATACTGCTACTAGAGTACAAGGTTGTTAACATGAAAAAGTAGATACGGTTTTCTAACCAACTCAACCTCAGTAATGTTCTTCTTACAGAGCTTGAGCTGTGGGACAATACGATGGAAGGCCGAATTATATTCAGTAACAGAATCCTAAAAACGGAGATTAAGCTGGTCAAATTGTTCTTGATGGGGGATTATGACAATTTGTTGGTCAAAACGAAGATCAGGGATTTGCGAGCTCTTTTTCTGTGAGGTATTTATTTTTCAAATCTTTATCGCGATGGTGACGAAGAAAAATCAGTGTCTTCGTCTTCTGGGCGGGAGTGCTATAAGATGTAGAATCAATTGTGACACTTAAATCAAATGAGGCTAGGTGAATCCCAACATCAAGGGCTCAAGTTAAGTAATTACTCCTATCAAGAGCGAGCTCAGTAATTCTCTTTTTGGTCATATCAGACATTGTGAAATTCTAGAATTTCAGAAGTGCGAAATAGTTGCAACTGTAGAGCATACTCTCGTCGTATTACAAATCAAGCTCTAGAGGGCGGAGACTCGTGCTGATAACGTGTTATAAAACTAGAGAGAAAGAAAGAATAGAGAAAATATACTCTTAGTTGTATTTTCATTATAATTGAAGCTCCTATTCATAGGAAAATTTATGATAGGTACAATTGTAATAATACAATTACATCGAGTGCAAAATAGTCATTCATATATATTATTTTATATATAAATATTAAATAATGATGGTGATGGTTGTAACCAGGGGCGGAGGGACATGTATTTTATCCTGGGTTGTAGCCCAGGTAAGCCATTTGCAAATACATGTTGCAAGTACATATTGGTTTTTGACTCAAACATATTTATAATGACAACCATCCTGTAATAATCACCTCAAATTAATATTGATGTCAATTTTTGCTTTTTTTTTTTTTTTTTTTTTTTTTTAATTTTGTTGTCTGAATGACAACCTTTTGGGCTTATTTTTGTAATTGATAATAAAAGAATGTGGTTTTAATAGCTTTGTTTACCTAAACTTTGCTAATTTTAGTTTCCTTATTTATTTTGATGTGTGAATATATTTTTATGGAAAGCTTATTGGACATGCACTTATACAGATATGGTGTTAGGCTGCCTAATGTTAGGCAGTCGTACTATCTAAAAAAATCGTACTTATACTATACACAATGTTATATCTATTTTTTTTATATTATACTTTAAAGTATGTCATTTGAGTGTGAATAGATGTATATGTGTGAAAAATATTTATTCACCGGGTAAGTTTGAAATTCTGGCTCCGCCCCTGGTAACCACCAACCACCTTCTTTATAACATGTTTGATAAACTCATACGAAAATTTCTATACTCAATTGCCCTCTTACTGTTTGTTCAACAGTATGGGAAATTCTACTTTTCTTGATATTCTATGTTTGTTTCTTTCTGCTAATGAACCGAAAACTTTTAACATAATGTCGTTGTTTGTAATGGATAGTTTATTGTATTAGAGTGATCTGTTAACTAGTTTGACTTCTAGTAATTGATTGTATAAAAAGTATTTTGTAAATAATTAAAATTGATAGCAAATCAATAATTTAAAATGACTATAAGGACAATAATGATTTGTTTTAGGTATATTTTGTTTATAATGTTGGCCTATATATGGACTTAATGATAAATTAAATAAAACAGTAATTTAACAATAGTGATTAATTAGAATTAGTAGATGTACATGATATATATCTGAAAATTATTTTGTAATAAATAAATATTGTTAATGGCAATTGATAATTTGATTGTAAAGTAATTTATGTCTAATTAATAGCACACAATTCATCGATCAGAGAAAAAAGTTGATATCTATAAACACATGCAATCCTCTCTATAGAAAAAGCTCATGTTTGAAGCTTTTCAAGATTTCATACCTTAAAATCTGCCGTTTGCTTTTCTCACAGATTTGATGGGGTTGCGCCTGAGCCGTGGAAGGGAATAAAAAGTGGCCATATTCCAGGGAGCAAATGTCTTCCCTTTCCCGAGGTACAGCAAACCTAATGTCAAAATATAAGTTCGTTAGCACATTGGTTTTTTCGCATCACTATTCAACTTTCTTCTCGTCTAATGTCAACATATAAGTTCGTTAGCACATAACCGTCGATTATGGTGTTATGGGGAGTTTTTGTTACAGATGTTGGATGGCTCTCAGAGCCTTTTACCAGCTCCTGAGCTGAAGCGTAGATTCGAACAGGAAGGTTAGATACATTGTGTTCTTTGAGCCTTTCTTGTCGTTATATTTGTTCAATTCAAATCACCAAAAGACATGCTGTTTGCACTCTTTTGATTCGGCACTCTGATTCTCTTTACAGGAATCGCGATAGAAAGCCCCATAATGACGTCGTGCGGAACTGGCGTGACAGCATGTATCTTAGTACTGGTGGGTCCCGCCTCTTATTGAATTTGATATTTACGGTTTACCATATGTTTTCCGATGTATTAACCTCCTGGTGAATACTGGCCTTTTGCATTATGAAACATGCTCAATTTTTATTTTATTTTTTTATTTTTTTTTTCAGGGCCTTCATCGACTGGGGAAGGCTGATGTTCCGGTTTTTGATGGGTCGTGGGCCGAGTGGGCAACAAATGCAGATTTACCTGTGGTTACTTCTCAATTTTAGGGAAATTTGATTATAAGAAGTAAAACGAGTTAATATAAAGAATTAAGGAGTTTTTTCAATACAAGACCTGAAAAAATTAATTGTCGCTGAAGCAAAATTTTCATGTAAGAACACAAAATATCACTGAAGCACAAATAAACAAAATTTTCCTTTAGAGAGCATTTCATTATCCCTCAAAATACTTTCGAAATGGTTGTGTTTCAAAGTGTAGTTTGGTTTTCTTCTAGGCTAGACAACATTTATCCCAAGTATTCACAACAATTATAAAGAAAACTAAGCTCCAACTTTGCAGCTGTGTAGAAACTCACATTTGTAAACTTGGTCCAAATAGGAACGGTTTTAACATCATCCTCCCTAAACCGGAACTAGTCCGACAACATTTTTAAAAGCAGTCCGGTGAAGAAACAAAAACTGATGAAATAATACCAGAAGTTACCACATAATGACTAAACAAAAACAAAATGATGAAATTGTATTAGAAGCTACTATTGGATGATTGAACAAGATAGAAAAAGTTTTGTACCAAAAATTGCCATTTGTATGTCATTAAACAAATTGAAGTGATAATATATATCAACAAATTAGCATTTATTTGAAGCTACAACAATATAAAGTCATGAAATAGTACCAGAAGTTACAATATAATGATTAAATAAAATGATGAAATGGTATCAGAGTCTAGAAGTTATCATTGGATGATTGAACAAAATGAGAAAGTTGTACCAAAAATCGCCATTTGTAGGTCATTAAACAAAATAGGTATATATACAAAACAATTAGCCTTCATTAATATCTTGATCGCGTGGCCTAATGGATAAGGCGCTCGCCTCCGGAGCGGGAGATTGTGGGTTCGAGTCCCATCGTGATCGTAATTATTTTCTTCTCTTTATTTTTCACCTTCTCAGTCTTATTACTTTTATTTTTCACGTTATTGTTTATTTTATTTTATTTTTATTGTTTCAGGAGAGGACATATATATATATAGAAGGAGCTCATGGAATTATGAAGGTCCATTGACATGAAATTCTGACATTTATTTGTTAAAAGGGAAAATATTAAGTGCTAATATATATGTTTTTGACATTATTATTGCACTTATAATTGTTGTCATTATATCAACAAAGTCGTGAAAATATTAATAAAATTTATTTACATTTATTATCATGCATAATTTATAAGATATATCATATAAAAATATATGAATTACTAGGGTCAAATAAAAAATTTATGCAAAATGTAATGCAATAAAATAATTATTGTACAAGTTTTATTATAATTATTAATAATTTTTATTATACAACTAATATAAATTTCATACATAAATATTAACAAAGATACGAAAGAATGGGGTTTTGAAATTTGTTAAAATTCATTGTTTCTACCAGAAAAAAACAAAGGGAGTTTTTTACCATTTCCAAATAATGGATAAAAAAACTCCAAAAAATGGATAAACAAATATATATATATATATATAT